TAGGACTGTACTCGCGCATATCTGCAAATAACCCTTTAGGCCCGGCCAACTGAACGGCTGCGGCTGAGGCAGAGAGTGTGTTGTTTGTTGACCGGAAAAAAATAATAATAATTGGGGTTACGCCCGCGGAAAGGGAGATGGGCACGGGGACGTCTTGTGCGGGGGAACTTTCCACCAAAACGATGGAATTGAAAAGGAAAACGTTGATTCGGTCACTATAGCAAAATACGCTGATACAAGAGGGGTCAACGTGTCCGCACCGAAAGACTGACTCACAATATGATGATATTGCAATTAAGGTTGGGCAGCATAAAACGGCCAGAGAGTAACAAAGATTTCAGATTTTAAAATCTTTATACTCAACCGATAGCAATAAAACAAAAATCTGGTAGGCAACAGGTATTTTATCACGTCTTATCTAGTTAGTTGCCAAGAGGGGGCCGCCCCTCCGAGACGTCAGCTGACGTCACGAGCCACGTGCGCCCGACAGGTGGACTGGCCCGGGGTGGCAGACGTACGGATCAATATTGAACTTGGCAGCCCAGAAAGATTTTGATCGATCTGTGCGGACCCTATCAAGGCGATAGGTAAACGCTTCATTATTTCTCCTATTCATTTATTCACAATGCAATTCCTTCAATCTAAGAAGTTTTGGATCTCGCATACAATTATTTTAATGTAAGAGAGAAAATAGCAAAGCGTATACTTGACACTGATTATTTTTGTGTGTGAAGAGGGGGGGAGTGGAGATGGAGGGGGCGAAAAGAGAGGGGGGAGCAGAGGGGTGGGGAGGGGAGGGTTTACTACCGTGCGGCCAAAACGGAGAGGACGAAGGGTTAGAGAGGCACTAGATGCCAGGGGAGAGACATCTCGATGCCAGGATGAGAGGGGAGTGCTCGGTAGAAAAATCGAGATGACCCACCCACCCTCTCTCTCCCGCCTGGTTCTCACGTTTGGCTTCAGTCTGAGGAGAGGCGCAGGACTCGGTGCGCAAGGACTGCTCCTCCGTATTTTACGGTTTGTTTTGGCCGTGCAATTGTCTCGCGGCCGTACCTTCCATTTGTTTTGGAGTGTTTGCGGCACGGCGGGCATGGGGCGGGCGAGCAGCGGGCAGGCAGTCTGCAGATGTAGAATGCTCATCGAACCACCGTGGAGTGGTGGGGCGGGGCGCGGTGGGGCGTGGTGGGGCGCGGTGAGGCGAGGTGAGGGGAGGTGGATTACTGGTACCATAGCTATAGGCCCAGCGCTTAACTGCCTAAACGCTTAACTCCTCCCGACCTCCGGTTTATCGCACACACACTAAAAGCTTATGAACATTTTTTTTCATAGTTACTAAGTTCTGTAAACATGCTCGGCTTACGCATTTTTTAATGCGCCAGTATGAAGAAATTTGTGCATACTGGCGTATTAAAAAATGCGTAAGCCGAGCA